TCCAAGAATGACTCTTTGTAATTTACATTGATGTGTCTGTTGTTCGCACCATTGATCCTTCAGAGGGCGTTTGCTGATAAATCTCACAATTCAGACAAGTCTCTTGATGACCTTGGTATTTCTATTCCCACTGAAACTTTAACTTCTGAACAGCAGGTTAAGGCAACTTCCTTCTTCAATCAGTGGAAACATATTTTCTCCTCTGGGCCTACTGATCTTGGTTCTACTGTCTTGGTCGAACATGAAAAACAATCTGTCTGATCCCACACCTTTTAAAGACCCTTATCGCCGAATACCACCAGGGATGTTTGAGGAGGTACGTGAGCATTTACGAGACATGATTTCCGCAGGAGCGATCCGTGAGTCCAAGAGTCCTTTTTCTTCTAATGTTGTGTTAGTAAGAAAGAAGGACGGGTCTTTGCGTTTTTGTATCGATTACCGGAAACTGAACAACCGTACAATCAAGGATGCTTATTGCCCTTCCTCGCATCGACGAAACTATAGATTCTCTCATAGGTTCCACTATTTTCTCTAAACTCGACCTACGCTCAGGTTACTGGCAGGTCCCAGTCAAAGAATCTGATAAGCAAAAGACTGCCTTTAGTGTTGGGCCTCTCGGATTCTATGAGTGCAACAGAATGGCTTTTGGTCTTACCAATGCCCCTGCAACGTTTCAGCGTCTGATGGAGCGTTGTATGGGCGAACTTCACCTTCGTGACTGTTTGATTTATCTCGATGACATTATCATCTTTTCTGATTCTATTGATACTCATTTCCGTCGCCTTCAGTCTGTCTTTCAACGTCTTGAGATGCACAATCTTAAACTTAAAGGGTCCAAGTGTGAATTCTTTAAGCCGCAAGTCCAGTATTTGGGTCACATTGTTAGTGCTGATGGGGTGAAGACAGATTCCTGAGAAGATTGAAGCACTCAAGACATATCCTGTACCTACTTGCCTTAAGGAGTTGCGTAGCTTTTTAGGTTTCTCAGGTTATTACAGGAGGTTCATTAAAGACTACGCACAGATCGCCAAACCTTTGAATGACCTTCTTATTGTATAACCCACCTGCAAAAGTTCTTCTAAGAAATCTAAAGTTCCTTTCAATTGGGGTCCAGATCAGCAGAATGCCTTTTGTTCTTTTGATAGATAAACTTTCTTCTCCTCCAGTCTTAGCTTTTTGCTGACTACAATTAAGCCATTCATTCTTAATGTTGATGCCAGTACTAGCGGTTTGGGAGCGGTTCTTTTACCAGGTTGGTGCTGATGGTAAGGAGCATGTTATTTCCTATGCCAGTAGGGGGTCTTGAGGAGGCAGGAGAAAGACAATTATTCCTTCTGCTCACAAAATTAGAGTTCTTTTTGGCTCTTTAATGGTCCCCTGTCCTGTTATAAGTTTCCATTGATTAATCTCTATGGTAATTGTCTGTGGGAAGCTTAAGAACAGACAATAACCCACTTACCATGGTGTTTTCACTGCCCCAAGCTTGATGCGACCAGCATTTCAGGTGGTTCTCCTTGTCTTGCGTTTTGACATTCAACTTGCGGTACAGAAGTTGGTAAATTGAGGAACATTTGTATAGCCGATACCCCTTTCTAGAAAAATTCCCTCACTTCTTCTCTTCCCGATTCTAACATTTCTTTCAGATGCTGTCAAGGGCTTTTTTTGTTTCTTCAATCTGTGAAAGGTCCAGGTCAACTGTCCAAAAGCTGTTGAATGGTATTTCTTTTATCAAAAATGTTCTTTTCTCTTTAACCAGAGACGAGATTGAAGTCGGAAAAGCAGCCTTTAAGTCTATTGATTGGAAGAAGGGAGGCAGCAAGATGATCCAACACTTTCCCGTTTAGTTCAACTCTTTTGAAATTGGTCATAGGTTAACTGAACGCCAAAAGTCACATGAAAACGGCCAAGGTTCGATCGGTTTCTAAAAAAAATGGAGCAACCTTTACTTTTAAGGATTCAGTTCTTTATCGTTAAAGGTACTTCAAATGGTTTTATCCTGTTACTCAGCTTGTTCTCCCTGAAGCATATGCTTGATTTAGCTTTCCAGGGTTTTGCATGATGAGGCAGGACATTCAAGGTTGTACAAGAACGATTTCTTTGTTTCCGTTCACGTTTCCTTTTGGGGCCTCAGTTAGAACAGTATATCGAACACAGGGTTCGAAACTGCCCCAGATGTATCCGGAGAAAGTCATTGGATAAAACGACTGCTAAGTTAAATCCTATTCAGTCGAGTTATCCAATGGAAATTGTCTGTATGGATTTTCTTTCTCTGGAGATGTCTCGGGGGTGGTTATGAAAACATCTTGATCATTACTGAATCACTTCACTCGTTTTTGCTCAGGCTATCCCTGCCAAGAACCAAACTGCACATACTACCGCTAAACTTCTCTTTGAAAATTTTGTTTGTCACTATGGTTTTTCCTAGTCGGTTCCATAGTGTTCAAGGGCGAAATTTTGAAAGTGAAGTTGTCCGGGAGTTGTGCAAGTTGGCCAATATTGACAAGACCAGGACTACTCCGTATCATCCACAGGGTAATGGGATGCCTGAGCGCTTTAACGAAACCCTCTTGAATATGTTGGGGACCCTGGAAGACAACAAGAAGGTCAATTGGAAGTCTCATGTTCCCGCTCTTGTCCATGCCTATAACTCTACTCCTCATTCTTCTACTGTGTTATTCTCCCCATTTTCTCATGTTTGGTCGCCACCCTAGGCTTGCCATCGATGCGTTTCTTGGCATCGAACCAGACAAATCTCCTGTCAAGGACCATTCTTATGTCTCCGGTCTCCAAACCAGACTCAAATTTGCATATTCTGTTGCACTACGAGAGGCCAAGAAACAAGGCAAGAAACATAAAAAGGTACTATGACCTCCGTGTGAGAGAAGCGGAATTGAAGCCCGGGGATCGAGTACTGGTCCGAAATGTAGGTGTTAGGGGAAAAATCCAAACTTGCCGATAGATGGAAAAAAGATGTTTACACCATTCTCAGCCAGCCCACCTCTGGAATTCCCATCTATGAGGTGAAGAAGGAAAACAGCAAGGACAGGTCCAGGGTTTTGCACAGGAACCTTTTACTTCCCTTTATGGGGATGCCTTTGTGCAAAACAACTGAGTCCTTATACAAGCCAGCTTCCTCTGACTTACATTCGGATCAGAACTCGTTCTCCAATCCCTCCTCTGATGTTTCCATTACAGCTCCGCTAGATTCCAATACCTCACTTACATCAAGTCCATCAAATGTTTCACAAAGCAATTCTTCCACAATACATGATTCTAATAATGGTTTGTCAACTTCTTTTACAGGTACATCAAACAGCAAACAAGATGTCACGTCAACAACTCAAACTTCTTATTCTGTTCCAAATAAAACATCTCATTCTATTACAGGTTCTAAATATGTCATTCCTGCACTGAGAAATAAATCTAAGGAGAACAACAACAATTTACAGAGGCAGAAGCGTACTAGAAAGAAACCCGGATGGATGCTAAATGACAACTGGAAATTAGATTAATGCTTTTTCTTTTCTTTATAGTATAGGTGTGTCTCAACTTTGAAGTTAGGCGTTGTTCAGTACCTGATGTGTTTCGTTTTTGTTTTATACCATGTACCATATATTTTACCTTGGTAATTTATAAATGTACTTTACAGTACTTTAAAAATAAAGGATTTATTGTTGAGAGTGCACCTCTTCAATGAAGTCACAGTTCTACTGATAAATTAAAATTTTGTTTCCGCGTGACATATATTTTTCGCGATTCGCGGCATACGGTATTTTTGTGGAACATGCTTGAGTTTAAGGTATTTTGCCCGGGTATTATATATTTACTCACAGGTTGTAATTGCCTTCAGTATTTAGATTTAGTTATGTAGTACCTAGTAGTTTAGTTACTTTATGGTCTAAGCTTACTACTTGCAATGTCTGATTCAAGCTCTTCCTCTTTAATATTTTATGAATGTCGGGGCGACATTCCCCAAAGTGGGGAAGTATGTCATGTGGTCGATATTCGTGTTTTTGAATATTGTTTTTATGTATCATTTTGTCCTTGTATTTGTATATATATCTCTTGTATTTGTCTGTTTACAGTCCGATATACACTCCATTATCCCATATCATTCCTATATCATTCCATTTCATCATCTCATTATAACAACTAATTTCTCATATTTCATTCTGACATAATTTGCATGCCGGGCCTCAGTTTTTACAAACTTCCCGGAAAATCCACCTCACGCATGCGCACTTTGGTATAAATATTTCTATTGGCTTGCGCCAGAAATTGTTGTCTTGTTTATTTATTTATTTATCAAGGCGTATGTTTATGTCCTTAAAGGTAATTGTTGTTATTCATTATGTTTCATTATCATGCATATTTCCATTGATCGTTTATGTATTTCGGATCTGTATTTATGCACTTTGGTATAAATATTTCTATTGGTTTGCGCCAGAAATTGTTGTCTTGTTTATTTATTTATTTATCAAGGCGTATGTTTATGTCCTTACAGGCATAAACAGACCATTCCTACATTCCATACGACATAAATAACTTAAGTAACATGCAAACTCTTCTGATATCTGGTTAAATCAGGTTATTTATGATAGTAAATGCGCCTTTGGCAAACAAATGATACACTATCAAATAATGTTTTCCTTATCTTAACTCTAGCATAATAAATAAGACTTTTTATTTAAATTAATAGTATATAAAGTTAATTTAAATTATGGGATATATGATATTACAACACCTCTCATATTTCGGTTGATAAACATGTATTGTGCTCATTTTATATCCTTGAAATTGCAAAAATCAAGACTTTCAACAAAGGCCTTTGGTTGTATCTGAATAACGCTTGAATGCAAAATCATACTACAAAATATATCTATTTCGGTTTTCTTTACAAAATTATAAACGTGTATATTCATCCTGCTAAATATAAACGTTACCGACATGCATCTTAAATTGCCATACTTGTTTATGTTGTCACTTGTGTATAGTTAACTTATATTAGTGTATATCAAAATGGCGACCGGCGGTAGGAGTTTTATAAGAGCCTCGGATATTATACATGATTTTTCTTGCTCTCCTTGCTCAGAAAACAAAAATAATTCAGAAGCAATATATAAATGTGTCGAGTGTAAAACCTTTCTCTGTGCAAAATGTCGCGATGGACACAACCAGTTTGTCAAAGGTCATAAGGTAGTTGATGTCCGAGCAAAGGATATTGGAGGAAGTTTGATTCATTGGAAAGGTTATAAGTGCGAGGAACACCCGGACAAGATGATTGAAATGTACTGCAAGACACATGATGAAGTCTACTGTCCTGTTTGTATACTGAAACACAGGTAACTTTTATAGTAGTATTAATTGTCATACAATGCAAACCTTAAAATAAGTTGGTTTCACACATTTAAATCTTAACTTGTTTGAAGCACGAGTTCATACTGACGCATTGTATGTTTTTTTAGATAGATAGATTGAACTATTTTTTGAATATTTATATAATTTGATTCGTTTATATGTGATGTTCCAGATATTGACCATATATTTAATTTACTTATTGTTTCCTTTTCTATCGAAAGATCATGTACAGGAGTGGACTACATTCCAAATGTTGCTAAAACAGTCAGGGGTGTAACTTAAAGCAGTTATCATTTTTATAACTGAATTAAGTTACATATTTAAGATCTACAGGTTGCTTCCCTTTGTCTATCCCGATAATTGGTTATCCCTTTTAGATTATTCTAAAAATAGGTTACAAGGGCACTAAATCACGCGAGCTTCATTTTATTGATCATATGTCCTGTTAAGCTCCCTTTAATTTTGGAAATAAGAGCGGCTTATATTAAAAACTGAAGTTCAGAGAACAGGGCTAGGGTTCATAATACATGTAATAATATTTGATGTCACAGGCATATTAGGGGGCGGCAGGGCATGCCCCCTCAGAAAATTTTAAAATACTGCACTGCATTTCTTGAATTTTGAGCACTGGCTTTTGGTGTCTTTCACTGAGTGTTCAAGTAGTATTTTTTCACATTATTGTTATACAAATAAAAGAAAGAAGTTAGATAATAACTGTTAGTATTTTTGGATCATTAATTACCAAAAAAAATAACCAATAAATCCAAATTATCATAATTTTTTATCTAGCTTTGACTTACTTTTTAATATACCTTTTACGTTTAATCATTAAATCTATTTTTTTAAATAAAAGATCGCTGAATTGAAGCAAGCGTTCGCTCCATTTTGATTTTTTGACAATCTGTGTCTTAAATGCAAACAAATTTAATGGTGATGTTGCACATCAAAGACGCCGAACAATCAACGGTTATGTTGACAATTGCTCCCTATTTCAGTTGAATATTCAAAGCACTAATCATTTTTTTTTCTTTTTTTTGTGCTCGTTATTTAGAAAATCGCATAGTTTTGTCAAAAAGAAGACCATATATATACTAAATTTTTAATGCATATATTCAAAAATTAATGCCATGTCTGAAAATCTGAAATATTTGTTTGTTGCGACAAAAATTGAAAGGTCTGGTCGAAGCAAAATAAATTGAATAACAATATAAAACTGAAATGATTGGTATACTTAAAATAAATTCATGACATCCATTTTGTCGGCATATATAATCCTACAAAACATTAAAAAATAAAGCAATGTTCGCATTGAATTTTAGAACAAACTTCTATTGTGATATTACATGTATATTCAATTTTTAGAATAAATTTTAGCCATTCACGTAAACGACAAAAATATAGAAAATAAGATATTCACTGGTTTTGTTGTTTTGACATTAACAAATAAATAATTTAGTCACCACATTAATTTCGGCTTCTAAAATCTTTCGTCCGATTTACAATAAGCCAAAATGCTGACTGCTGAATTTCATATCGCCCTTTTTATCGGTTATCGGTTTATCGGTTTTTATATATTTAATTGAAAGAAAGGGACACAATTTATATATCGATGGGCAAGTTGTTATCTGCACTGCAACTTTATCTAAAAATATTTGTAAAAGTATAAACATAAAGATATCAATACCTGGAGACCTATTTAGGCCAGTTCCATAGCACGTG